ATATATATATATATATATATATATATATATATATATATATATATATATTTCTAATTTCCTATGAAACAAAGACAATGTTTCCTTTGCCTATTTCGAAAGTATACAAAGATTAAGAAGGAATGTACATAAAAGCATATTAGTTACTATGAAGTTCTACATAGAGATTACAGCTACTAAGCATGAGGATATATATGAGATAAAAAGTTCCCCCAGGTAAGATCTACAGGACGAGGAACTGTCAGAACATATATGAACAGTACAATTGAGAGTGTACTTAGCACATCACTGCCTTTGAGGAAATGCTATATTTCAGTTACATGAACATGTATATTATTTCCACAGATTAAAGAATACCATAATTAAGAACTGAATTTTCTTAACATATTTCCACAATAATTTACTTCAACCAGTGTATTTGTAATCACTATCCTTGTGCATAGTATCTACTGTGAAAAAGATCACTAATTTAGATTTCATTTCATTTGCTTGTGCAAAGCTCTGCCTGACTGGCAATGATACATAAACACGACTTGTGGAGTAGATGAAATGTTTACACAATAACTTAAAGGTCTTATCATTTTATTGTACAATTCCTACCATAGAATTTAATATAAATGGACCCAAATGATTGCTTATATTATGCAGTCTAACTTTGAATTACAAATAAAAAGGGAGCTTGCAAATATGTTCAATAGCAAGGTGGTAAAGATCATGTAGAACTTGTATGGGCACCTTCCAGGAAGTAATTTAGCAATCTCTGCCCAACGGTTTCCCAGCCGCTTGTGTGCTTCGTATATGATCCTGTCTTCTTCTTCCGTCCAAGAAGATTTCTTTACTTCGGGGTTCAGGTGATTGTGCCATCTTTCTCTGCACTGCTTACCTATTCTTCCTTTTAAATGTTTTGCAATTAAAGACCACCTTTTTGGTCCATATTTCTGAACTAATTCAATAACCTAAAAAATAAAACCAAAGGTTGAAAAAACATTACCATGAGAGAATTTTAAGATGTAACTGAAGTATGTCAAGGCTGGAGTAGTCATATATATATATATATATATATATATATATATATATATATAGTTATTTATATAGGAAAGATCTGTAATTACTGACTTTTCATTTCCTCCATCAAGCTGAAAAAATACAATTTGTACATTTTTCCTACACCTTGTTTTTAGCTTAACTGAAATTAGAACAGTTCATCTCCTCAGCCCAACTTTACTCTGATCCAGTGTCAAATATCCATCATAAACATTCTATATTGGTGAATTAATTAAATTTAGCATATATCAATATCTGTATCTACTTGCAATATTTTTAAAAATAAAATTTAAAGGCTAAATGTAAAGCTTTGGTCATTTATTTTTGGTTTTTCTTTTTTTTCCCCAGTACTAGGTGTATTTAACAAACGCTCGACCATTGAATTATATTCCCAACCTGCCTCTTATTTCTGTTTTGAGACAGGGTCTCACTAAGTTACCCAGGCAGCCCTTTAACTTGCAATGCCCTATCTAGACCTACTGAGTAGATAGAATTATAGCCAATGCAACAGGCCCAGCTATTAAATATCTATTTTAAAAAGCCCCCACATTGTGTTTTATTTACTCATATTTATCTATTATCATTTTCATATTTATGATGTGTAAGTGTGAGCATAGGCATGTACAAACCATGGTGACTGTGTGAAAGTACAATTTTCACTAGGCAGTTCTCTCCTTCCACTGTAAATTCAGGGTTTGAACTAAAGTTGTGCTTTCATGGCAAACTACAGGACTTTTAGCAGTGGAGCCATCTCCCCAGCCCCAGATCACACATTTCAAAACCTATCATTGGCCATTAAGAAAAGTCAGACTAGAGGCGATCCACCCAGCACTGATGGAAACAGATGCAGAGACCCACAACCAAACATTGGAGTGGAGTGAAGGGAGTCTTGTGGGGGAGAGAGAGAGAGAGAGAGAGAGAGAGAGAGAGAGAAGAAAGAAACAAAGAAAAAAAAAGTCAGATTAGTCCTGGGCCTTGTGAAGTAAACTTCTGCTTATTTGCTCTTATGGGTATTCTATGAGTATATTAGCAACAGGCAAACTAAGCGCATAAATTAAAGAGCAATTCCTAGTGGAGGGCAGATGCTTCTATTCTTCAACAACTTTTACTGGCTTTTTATTATAATTGTTTTTTTTTTTATCATAAACCCTCTGGAAACAGGATGTCCTGACATTTATCTAATAATAATGGGGTTCATTTAAGGCCAAGAGAAAAAAATTAAGAACAACTTTTTTACGTATGAAGTTATTAAGTGTAAAAATAAAATTAAAATCTATTTTTAATGTTAATTAAAACTATGCCTTAAATGTTGTTAAAGTAAAGTTTAAATAAAGCATTCTTCCTTTTGTAAGTGAATCTCTCAAAAAGGATTGTATTTATTATAAGTAGTTTCACTCATCCTTGCCCTGGGGTGGAAAAAGCTGTATTTCAAGACATTCAACATTCAATTCTTATGAACACAAGCCTCTAAAGAACAGTACCAAGTAACTTAAAGTGAGAGCTGAGAAGATGATTCAGTTATTAAAGTGCTTCCCTTGCAAGCATGAAAACCATGCCCAGAATTCCATCCCCTGGAACCACATTTTTAAAAGCTGGGCACAGTGGCATGTACTTGCCATCCCAGCATTAGGGAGGCAGAAGGGCAGACCCATGATGCTCAGAGGCTCAACAACCTACCACTACTTGAAAGCTTAAGGTTAATGACTATTTCATAAAAACTGGAGGATGACACTGTCTTGGGGAACACCACCACCTATGTAGTCCTCGAGCCACCTCATGTACGTACGCAAGTCATGTATGTCCACCTCCAACACTAGCATACACATACACTTAATCACACACTTAAATTTTATGTGTTACAGCATGTTAATAAGAAAATAAATCTAATCCACCTGCACAGTGAACATAAAGAATATGAACATGAGGTAAGGAATTGCTCAATGGCACTTGCCATTAAGTCCGAAGAGCTGTGTTTGACCCCTGAGATCCAAACAGTAGGTGGAAGGAGAGGACTAGCTCCCACGAATTATCCTTTGACCTCCACAGGTAAGCTGTGCCATGAGCATGCATGCATGAACACACATGTGTCCAAATACATGCACACAAATAAATAACACTTAAAATTTTTTCAAAAGAATATGAATGTGTTACCCTCTGATCTTCTTCCTTAGTCCAAGGACCCTTTATCAATTCTGGATTTAAAACCTTCTGCCATCGATGTTGGCACTGAAAATCGGAACGATTCTGAAAGAATTTGGACAAATTTATTGTTAAATAAATGTCTTCCAAAAAGCAAATTAACCCAAATTTAAGTATACCCACATAAAATATGAATCAATAATATATTCACACCAAACTTTTACATGTAATATTTATTTTACATGCCTAAAATCCCAGTTCTGTTCTTTTAATAATCACGTTTAGGCTACAAATTAAAAATAATACATTTGAAATTAAAATATATACCTCTATATTATCCTTTATAATACAGCAAGCAGCAAGACATATTCCATAAAAAAATTGATCCAGAACTGAGAAATAAGTGACAGTAGGCATCGAAGCAGATATAAAACTTCAAACAGAACAGCTCAAATTCACATAGTACAAGTTAAAAAACAAAAACAAAAACATAAAGGCTCAGAGAGGCAGAGGCAGGCAGATCTCTGTGAGTTTGTGGCAGGCCTGGTCTACAAAGTTGAGTCCAGGATAGCCAAGACTACACAGAGAAACCCTGTCTCAAAAACAAACAAACAAACAAACAAAAAGCCTAAAGGCATCACTAGTGTTAAAAGCATAATTATTTATAAGTGGCACCCTCTAAATTATTAATCAAACATAAAATGTTTTTATAGAAGATATGCATTATAGTTCAATTAAGTAGGTTAATGGTTAATACAGTTCTGAGGCAGAGTGCTCAACTAGCATGCACAAGGCCCCAGGTTCAATCCCACTAACATACACACACAAGAAATGAAACAGCTTCAACTCCAAAAGTGATAAAATGAAGCCTTTTTTTAATCTGTTCATGACCAAGTATCTACAAAGTAATTCTAAGATAACAATAAATAATAATACCTACTATTTCATTACCAATATACAACCTACAAAATTATCTATTCATATACCAGACTATAGAAAACCTAAAAATAAATATAATGGATGCATAAAAATGTCTTCGCTATTAATGCCTTTGTACCATAAGACTGCATTACTTTTATTTAAACTAAGCTTCTTTATGTATAGCTTCCATCTATCTAGGCTGATGCATTTAAAGCTACTTCTTTCTTCAAAAACAACTTTCATATAATCTTGTATCAATTCTATGTCCAATCTAGTATACTAATTTCCAACTTAGCTTGCTTTTATTGAACACGTGTTAAATGACAGAAAGTATGCCAACCTTCTTATGCCTGTAATTCTCACAATACTACAGAAGCAAGTAGCTGAAGGCCAAAGAGGTTAAGAAATTTTTCTAAATTAACAGAGCTGACATTTGAATACAGTTTAGACTAACTTCACAATCTATTTTTCCTCCCATTATTTGACCTTAATTTTTAGGTTATACTGAGAGATTCTATGATTATATGGGGGAAAAAAAAAAGTACAGGTAACATTGTTTCTAAAACCAAATTTAAAATATGGGTAATTCTAACTACCCACAATGCTCTGAAAAATAAGTACATGCAAAACTATTTCCATAATCTATAAATTACAAGCCAATTAATATGTAAATATTGGTATGATGAACAAGCATAATTTAAAATAAATACATAAATAGCCAGGTGGGGTAATGCACACCTTTAATCTTATCACTCAGGAGAAAGAGGCAAGCAGATACCTATGGGTTTGAGGCTAGCCTGATTTATATAGTAAGCTCAGGCTAGCCAGGACTACAAAGTAAGACTTTATCTCAAAAAAAAAAAAATCAATAAAAATACTTAAAAACATATGAATTAGATAATAAACCTAACAATTTTTTCTTTATTTTATTGGGTAGCTGTCAAAATGTTTTAATAGTAAAATTCTTTCAAAATATTTTAACATATATCACAGTTAAGGTCAGTCATAAAGTAATTGCCTCAATTTGCAAGGCCCTAGATTCAATTTCCAACATAGAAAAAATATAACCATTTATCACAAATATTTGTGAAGTCCTACCCAAACTTAATGCCATTTTTGTTTTATAGTAATAGTCCTTTCGGGCCCCTGGATAAATGCTTCCAGGCTTGAGTATCTGTTATTCAAAATTCTTGAGACTAAAAATATTTCAGATTTCAGGTTTTTTTTGGATTTGGAAATATTTACATATATATAAAATGATATCTTAGAGATGGGACATATTTATAGATGAAACTCATATATGCTTTATATCTACCTTATACACACAATCTAATAATTTTATACATTTAAGTACACCTGGCATTTTTACTGTGACATATATACTAGGTCACGTGTAAAACATTAGACTGTGGCTCTGTGTCAGTACTCAAAAAGTTTTGAGTTTTGAAGCACTTCAGATTTCAGATTTTTTTATTTAAAGTACTCAACCTGTACTAGAAAAGTGTTTTCTAAATCATTAGCAAACAACTACAAACATGCCAGAAAAAAAATTTAACCAGATATTTTAAAGAATGAAAACACACTTCTAAAAGCCAGAAGATGTAACCCAATGCATAAGTAAGATGTTGTTACAGAAATGCAACTTCACATCTCACTTACTTGAAGATGACTAGCAATTAGAGTCCAATCATCAGTTCCATGTTGTTCAACCAACTTCTTTAACTTGTCATCCTGTTAAGAGAGGCATAAAAGTTAGAATCTTTCCTCAACCCCTAGTACGCAGAAGACATTCTCATCCTCTCAAGTCATACTTGGTTTTCATTTTGAGAACTAGTCACTATTACACAAATTCCAAACTATTTCAGACAATCCCAAAAATCAACCATTCATGTCACTTACTGATTTTTTTTAAAAAGAATGCACAAGTAAATTGATTTTTCCTCACATTGTTTTTATAATTCCTTTCATAATTATAACAGTATTAATTAATAAATATGAGATTAGTAAATCTTGCCAGGTAACTACCTCATCTCTTGTCCACTTTACTCTGTTCCAGAGTTTTTTCAGTCCTTTTTGCTGAGGTACTTCATAATCATGATCAGCGTATTGAAGGTCGTCATCCTCGTCCTCACTACAAAACAATGTGTACGCCCAAGAATTTTACTTAAATTATTTAATTCAAACAGGCATGCCTACAGAAGCTATTCAGAATAAACCATACAGTCTCAACATTAATCAAAGAATAAAAAAATCAAGTCTTAAAAGGGAAGATGGGAACATACATGGTACTGGAATACATGTAACATCAAAAAAAGAAACTATCTGGGAAACAATGGGGCCCTATGAGACAGGATGAGTAAAAGCAAATCAGCAAGCTATGGGTTCAGCAAGACAGTCTCCAAAAATAAATTGGTCTATACTGAGGAAAACAAGATTGTCTTCTGGCCGCCACAAGCACATGCACACATGTGCGTGTAAACACACACATACAAACACGAGAGAGAGTGATAGAGAGAGAGAATACAATTAAAAAATAATAATTGAGGCCATGAGATGATCCAAAATATTGATGTACTGAGGGCAAACAAAATCAGAGCCTGAGTTTTTGTGGGAAGAGGGTGGAAGCGAGAGAGGGAGGGAGGGAGGGAGGAAGGAAGGAAGGAGGGATTTACAGAATGAAGCCCCCCCCCAGAGAGGCACATCTCCTTGATAATCTAAATTAGATGACACTGAGTAGCCAGAGTAATGAGTAACTGAAAAAACTGAAAACAATGCTCTCTAAATTTATTTAAAACTTTTCAAGTACTAACAGTATGACACCTATGAAATTTCCCACTTAAAACTTCGCACTGGGCTAGAGAGATCCTTTAGGGGTTAAGCACACTTGCAGATCTTACAAAGGCCTAGGTTTGGTTTCCAGTACCCACACAGTGGCTCACAACCACCTATTTCACCCTTTTCTGGCCTCCTCAGGCGCTAGGCACACACATGGTTCACATATATTCATGCAAGCAAACACTCATATGCATAAAAAATTATTTTAAAGAAATCTTGCTAGGCATGATGGCACAGGTCTTTAATCTCAGCACTCAGGAGGCAGAAGCAGGTGGATCTCTACTTGAGGCCAGCCTGGTCTAAACAGGAAGTTCTAGACCAGCTGTAGCTACACGGTGAGACCTTATCTAAAAATTTTTAAATAAATCATTAAAAGAAAACAAACTCCACAACTATTAGAAAGCAATATTATTACTATTGCCATTTCCTAGAGTTAAAAAAAGCTTGAAAAGTAACTAAGAAAAGTAACTTTGGGCTAGAGAGATGGCTCAGTGTTTAAGAGCACTGACTGCTCTTCCAGTGGACCTGGGTTCAATTCCCAGCACCTACCTGGAAGCTCACAACTGTCTGTAACTCCAATATCTGGCACCTTCACACAGACATACATGCAGGCAAAACATTAACGCATATAAAGTAAATTTCAAAAAAAAGAAAACTAACTTCTTCCTAAAGTCTCACCAAATATGCATAGGACTCTAAAGTTCAATAGCCAACCACTTTACTATATAGAACACACGGGAAAAATGAGAAAAGCATAGGAAGAAGCTGGAATTAGCCAAGACAAACCTCAAATACATTCTGAAATAAGAACATGGTTCAAGTTCTAACATTATAGCCCTAAACACACTAACCTCTTGGGTCTGTTACCTACCTTTAAGAAAAGGGGATTCAGTATTATGTGACTAGATTGTCTAACAGTATTCAAAATTATTTTTTGCCTTACTAAAGAATTCAACTCCTAAAAATTAATTCTGATTCCAAGTATCAAGTCTGAAGATTTGACTAAATTTAGTACAACATACAAATGACTTTTAATATCTAAATGTAGTACACAAACTCAATCTTACAAAAATTAAAAATTAAGCTCTAGATTTTATACACACATACACACACCCTTTACAGGAACCTCTAATTTCCTCTGACTTGTCAAATCCATTTGACAAAATTCTTCATATTTGAGCAGACCAAACAGCAAAATTATCTAGACTATTTGCTATGATTCCTATATTGCAACAACAATCTGCTAGCTCTTAGTATTGTTTTCAAACTATGCCTCAAATCAACACACAGATTTAATTAAAGAAAGTATCTATTATTAGAGGCCAAAATCAATTATCAGAAATATGGGATTAACCAACACACAATAGCACGGAAATGCTTCAAAATTTAGTGATTTCAAATTTCTTTTACAGAATATCTGCTCTTTCCCCCCACTCCTCAGATACAGGGTTTCTCTGTGTAGCCTGGCTGTCCTGGACTCATTTTGTAGACCAGACTGGCCTTGAACTCACAGAGACCCACCTGCCTCTACCTCCCGGAGTGCTGGGATTACAGGCGTGCACTACCTCCATCTTTCTTGATACTCATCCCATCTGCCAACCTTCCCAGCAAAAGAGTAAGTTCACAGACCAGCATTACCACGTTTACCTCCCAAAACCAAGCACAGTACCTGTCATTCAAAGGTTTGTAAAATCTTTCTTTTCCTCTACCAGCTTTATACTCCAAAATTTGTGGTATTCCATTTCAGCCCATCTAAAATGTCTGACTTCCTCAATACCAGTGTGATCTCAAAGGAAATACAAGAAGGAAAAAGCAACGAAACAAACAAAAACTCTAGAGCAATGCTTCTCAACCTGTGGATTGTGACCCCCTTTGGGTTGCATATCAGATATTTATATTACAACTCATAACAGTACCAAAATTATAATTATGGAGTAATAATGAAATAATTTTATGATTGGGGGTCACCACAACATAAGGAACTGAATTAAAGGGTTATAGCATTAGGAAGATTGAGACTGCTATGGAAGGATAGGGAAGACATTCTCATTTGCTAAAACCCAAATGAACCACCAAATGGTAGAGTTTTAAGAAGCAGAACCTGCTAAAACAAAATTTTTAAGCGTAATTCAGTCAGCACACAAGCGGTTGATTGAGGGTTTCTACAATCTGGTCTAAGCTTTCCTAGAAATTCCCCAACAACATTCTGACCCCCAGAAAAACTTGTCAGGCATACTTCTCACAATTTCTCTTTGTCCTCATTCCCCTCTGGTCCCAAGAGCTTCCATCACAGCATATTCAAAACTATTTTTTTAACTAAGTTATCTCTATGCCCAAACTAATTTTAACTTAGAAGTGTGCTTGCTTAGATCGCTAATAAATCATAAAAATGCCTATACCACATCTTATCTGTATAAAAGCCACCTTAAAATTCTTATATTTTAAGATATGAGTTATAAAAGTGTTACTTTGATCAAAAAGACTAGTCACCAAGGAGTAATATTTCTAAAACCTTGTTCACTTTAAAACTCTGCTCTTGCTGGGCATGGTGGCACATGCCTTTAATCCCAGTGCTCAGAGAGGCAGAGGGAGGTAGATCACTGTGAGTTCAAGGCCAGACTGGTCTACAAAGTGAGCCCAGAAGAGCCATGGCTACCCAGAGAAACCCTGCCTCAAAAACCTAAACAAACAAACAAACAAATAAATAAATAAATAAATAAAATGTTTAAAAGCTTCTGCTCTTTAACTTCTGACTGTATACTTTGTGAGGAATTTCTATTTCTATGTGAGGTTGTATTCTGTTTTTCACTTAACATGGCCATCAATTTCAGACAGTAAGCTCCACAGTCCACTCAGCATTCAGGAAGCTGGGTGAGTCAGTGAGGGAAAGGACAAGGTAGAATTCTTGGAATCATCTCTGCCACTGGGACTTTCCTAGCATTTAACTAATCTACCTTTTAATTTTAGCTTAAACTCTTTGTGCACAGGCTTCTTTTGTTTCGATTTTTGTGTTCAGAGATGAGTGTTGAACTCAGAGCCTTCATTTGTACTAGACAAGCATCATACCATGCAGCTATATCTCTAGCCCCAAGTTATTTCTATGTGCACTTGATTGCTGAAAACAGGACACGATTTCTAGTAACATAACAAAGAAGCCTAGAAACGTATCAGTTTTACTATCTATAACAAGAAGATGCCTAAGGATGCTTATAAATTACTAAGAAGAAAAGGGAAGGGCTTGGGCTAGCAAGATGATTCAGAGACAGTTGTACAGGCCTGAAAACCTAAGTTTGATCTCCAGGACCCACATGATGGAAAGAGAGACTTGACTCCTGAAGGCAGTTCTCTTACCTCAGCACAAGAGCCCCTGCACATGCTTACATGCCCCCAGACATACACTAGCACATACATACACATAAAAAATTCTCAATACATAAGCATATTATGTTCAAGTAAAAAATGGTTTACAGGTAAATAAAGTAATAGGGATGACTATGAAACGACAAAAAGAAGCACAAAATATCTGTAACATGTTAGAATATAAGCTAATAGGATATGATAGTCATGATTTACTTGTGAATCAATACACAAAATTATACTTGGTTTTTAAAATAAAAATTTGGGAGAAGTACAGAATAACAGACAACCTAATAAAGATGAATTAAACAAAGAATATAATTTACTTTTACTGAAAAAGTAACCTCTAGTTTGAAATTAAAAAATTTGCCCTAGTAAAACTGCTTCAATTTGATCACATTTTTAACTCAAATTTCCTCAAGTCTTAAATATTTATAATAATAATAATAATAATAATAATAAAACACGGCTGGTCATAGTGGCTCAGATCTGTTATTCCAACACTTGGGAGACTGAGTCTGGAGGATTTTCATGAATTCAAGTCCAGCCCAGGCTACATAATGAGATGGTGATTTTGAGGCTTTGAGGCTCTTCAGTACTACAGAGTGAGACCCTGTCTTTAAAAAGAGAGACAGACAGAAAGAAATAGAAAAAACTTTGTTATGCTTCTTGAGGTCACTGCAACTGTATGTTTATTTTCAGTTCCACTGCACTCAAAAATTATATTTACCAAGCTGATTTAACAAAGTGAAATCAGGCCACCCAGTGGTTAATATGCTGTACTGCATGCCTGAATATCGGCTTCCACCTCCAGACGACAAACTAGCTTTATTAGAGTAAGACAAGGTTTGACTTCAAACAATCTAGACCATTGCTATCACAACACTGAAATAAAGACTGAAAAGAATTCTATATAGTTATCCATAAGCAAAAACAATAGACAATATTTCTAATTATTTTAAAGTATGTATATTTAAAAAAAAAGGAAGGTTACAAAAGTCCTCAAAATACCATACACATTAAAATTATAAGCTACCTTGCAGACGAAAGAGTCCAAACCCCTTATATTAACAATTAAAAACTAAAAATTATATCTGCTTTCCCAAAATAGTATTGCTAGTTAAAGACAGAGCTGGCTAAATAATCCTTTCTCATAGTCTTGTATTCATTCACTCCACTCATGTTTCTAGAAACAACAGTGACGGTCTCACATACATACACAAATGCATATACACCATTAAGGAAAAAACTTCCTATGTAGAATCTAGCTTTCATCTCATCATTTTAATTTAATCACCAGTCATCTTAAATTATATTTATAATACCTTAATCTGCACCTAGTAAGTAGACTTTGCAGCATCAGAATTATTGTGAATTTATTTTTAAGCATTCGATTAGCTTTTAAAAACTAAACTGGAGCAGAAAAGATGACTCAGCAGGTTTTTTCTGCCAAGCCTGTCAACCAGAGTTTGAGTTTGAACCTCAGGACAACCATGGCAGAAAAAGTGAACTAATTCCAGATAACTGTCCTTTCAGCTTGCATACCTTGGCATAAGTGCATGCACGAGCGCACACACACACGCACACGCACACACACACACACAAAGATAAAAAAGTTTAAGTACTAAAATAAAACTACAGCTACTTTTACATAAAATGCTTTAAAAATCAAATAATGCTGTTAAAAGATGTCCTAATATAAGAATTAGCTGTAAATTGTGTCATTAAAACCCCCATTGGGTTCTTAAACTATTTTAAGTCACAAAACTACATCACCTTTTTCTATATGTAAATCTCAGTGACAAACTCTGCAGCTACTAAAAAAAACTAAAAATAACCAACATCATTTGGTTATTTCATACTTAGGGCAAACATTTTCTGCTCTTAACTGTTTTGGGTTTTGTTTTTGTTTTTCAAATCACACAGAAAACGTCTTACTATATTTATGCCTGTATCCTTATGCAAAACTGGAGGTTTCTGTTTCTCTATTATAAATTGAATTCATATATACTAAGATTCTTAGCCAAAAGAAGACTAGAGTGAAAATGAATAAGTTATTTCACCCTCAAATACTTCACATTATATTATCTTCTAATATGCATGAGTCATATTTAAATATACAAAAAATTAACAGCACATGGAAGTCACTGAATAAAACCCGAAGAAACACACCAGAGGTGGTGATTTCCCACCACATCCTCTATTCTCCCAGAGAAGTATAGTTTCACTGCAGTGCAATTACTCTGGACTTATAACTCTTTACACCATCCTATATTGTTTCAATTAACTTAAACATCTGGCAAAAAATAAAAGTCAACAGTACAACTAATGTTTAGAGGTCAAACTCAAAATACAGTTAATAATTTATAATTATTAAACCATTTCTCCTTAGCCTATTAGGAAACAAGATCAACTGTGACATGAAAAGGCAAAAAAAAAAAAATTTGAGAGAAGAATCTGACATTCATCTACCAATGTCTAGCAGTAGCTTTTAATTAAATGACAGAATTAGCCAAGACACTGTTTCAAGGAAGATTAACACTAATTCTAAGTAGATAATGGCATATTAACTCATCACTTTGCATCATTTAAAAACATTGTTAGACTTCAAAATTCAAAAAAACCTAAAGCTGTACCACAGCGCCTTATTTATTTTTAAATCTGCATGTTTTCCAAAGATGGGAATGTTATGTCCTTGAAGTTATAGATTAGCAGTTCTTACCTGCATGGTCCTGTTTCCATCCCCCAAAAGATAAGTGGCACCATCTGTAGACACTTTTGGTTGTCCCGACTGTGGGAAAAAGGGCTACTGTCTTCTACTGAGTAGAGGTACTGATGCTGCTAAAAATCCTACAACTATCTAATCCAAAATAATAATAGTGCCAGGCCAGTGTGCCTGCAGGTGTATGCACATTTGTTCCACTTCAGTGTTTAATCTATTCTGTAGCTGCTACACATAAAGTAAGTCGGCCATAATTAAATTTGTGTTGATATCTGTAGAATCATCTTACATACAGCAGATGCTTAATAAATGAATAACGCAAAGTATTTTTGTGTAATTATTTTAAAGCCAAATCTGCAAGAATGTCTCTCAATACTAAATTTCAACGCAGGAAATACAACTCTAAGATTTTTGAGGCTTTGGATTTAGATAAATGGAAGTATTTGGAAAATACTTTTCAGGTTTCCTTAATACTGAAAATCGAGACACTAAATTTCTGTCATCTGATTATTCTACACAATTTAGGAGCGGTGATTAAACAGCGGCATAAAATAAAAGTTGTGCCTAAAGACATTCTAGCACATCTTTCAACAACAACAATGAAACTGGGTGTCCTGTACAACACAGATACATTCAGGATCCAAAGCGAACGCTTGGAATACAAAGTAACTAAAACACACAGTTAAGATCAAGTTTACCGGATGGTAACAAGGTAACAAATCTTCTCAGAAGGTACTCAGAACCTCAGAACAGCAGTATGGGGAGTGACAGAAGAGATTTAGCAGGCCCCCTTCTCAAAAGGACTTCTCTCAGAACGCCGCCTGCCCAGGTTTGTCAAGGAGATCGTGTTTTGATTTGGCACGGTAAGTCGGAGGAGTGAACCCCAGTTTCTAGTCATCCAGGCAAAGGCAACCACTTCCCCCGGCGTGGCGCATCCCCCTCAAAGTGCGCAAAGTTACCTGGCAAGAAACCTCCCCGTAAGTGGCTAGGAGGGGTTGGGAGCCCGGGGTTAGCGCCCTCCACGCAGCGGTCCTGCCTCTTCCTCTCCTGAAGGATGCGCTCCGGCCAGCGCGGCCGAAGGGGGTGTGGGGCAGCGGGAAGGAAAAGCTATGCCCAGGCCGAGAGGGCCTGGTGGGGGACCGGCCGGCGAGGACCGGCGGCCGGAGCGACGGGGCCGCCAGGCCCGGGCCGAGGGGGAGGGCACCCACCTGCGCGACCTCTTCGCCATCCTTCAAGTACCGCATAGGCGCGGGCTGGGCGGGGACGCGGGGCCAGCCTCCTCCAGCCTCGGGCGGATGCTCCCTTCTCCGCGACCCTCCCGCCGCTCCCCCCAGCTCCTTCCCTCGGGGGGCCGAAGAGCGGAACGCAGGCCCCGTCAGGCGGGGGTCCGGCGGGACTGCGGGGCCGAGGGGCGGACCGAGACCCGCTGCTCCTAGCCGCGGCCGGGCCCGGTCCGGGATGCCCTCGACATGTCAGGAGGCGTGCTCCCGCCCTCCGCCCGCCCCCGCCGCCGCCTCCGCCTCGGAGCCGCCGGCCCTGCGCCGCTGGGTCACGGGCGCCGACCCCCGCCCTCTCCCCGCAGCGAGTTGCTCTGCAGCACTCGCAGCCTCCTGCAGGGTTTTGTCCGCACCGCCGAATCTCGCGCCCAGCCTCCCTCAGGAGCCGCCGTTTGAATCTGCGCACGCGGCCCCGAACCTCATTGGCTGGGGCGGCGGCGCGCGGGGCGGGGGCGGGGCCGGGGCGGGGAGCGCGCGCGCGCCGGAGGGCGGGGCCGGCGGCGCTGGAAGCCGGGACTGGAACTCGCGGGAGTCGTGGGGCGTGGAGTGGCGGGGGGGCGGGGTGCGGGGGGCGGAGGCGCCCGCGGAGCCCGAGGGAGGCGCGTAGGCCCGGCTCGCGGGCCCGAGGTGACAGGACCCGGAACGCTGCCCGAGCCTCCTCGGCGGCGGGGAGCGCGCGGAGCTTGCCGGGAAGGAGAGTTTCTGCCCTCCGGGGCGTGGGCCGGAAGAGGCTCCGGGACCGGTCCCACCGGCTGCGGAGGGGTCCCGGGCCCGGGTGGACGTGGCGGGCGCCGCGAACCTCTCCACTCAGGGGCGCGGTCTTCCCCTTGGCCTGGGAGTCGGGAACTTGGCGCCGCCGTTATTTTTTCAAGCACCCGTGAGCTAGCTTTACTCAGAGGTGACAAAGAAGGTGGGCCAGGATGCCCTGTGGCCGTCTCGCTCGTTTTCCCCAAGGATGAGTAAAAGTGTGACAAGGGGGAGACGTCGTTATCTGGAGACTCGCGTGGAACGGGAAAGGGCTGGTGATAGTGCTCAAGAAGCTTCACCACGCACTCCAAAGGGGGCGGGATGCTCTGCGCGCTGGACGAGCCCGGAGCCAGGGAACCGCGCCTGAAAACGGGAGTTAGAGAATTTGCATAGGGAAAGGAGCTTCTTACGGTCGCAACTTCTCTGACAGTTATTCGGTTAAAGAAGCACACCAGGAGGTTAACTGCGGTGACGATTAGACGCGGAGAAGAGCCCACATTTGCAAGGCACCACGCTCTGCTGCACAGAGTGCTGAGCCACAGATTAATACTGTCACGAGCTGATATTTTTGCTATTTTGAAACTGTACGCATCGTCTTTTGCAAATCAGAAATGCAGGTGCAAATACAGATCAAAATGAGCTTGCAATCTGATACGATCAAGTAATAAACTTTCATTTTTTTATATATATAAAAAAAGAACTTCCTTTTTCTCAGCGTAGAGTCTGGGATGAAAAAGCACCTTTAAATTACTATTTTCTGAGTAACTTCTAAAGAGAGAGACAAATTTAGAAATTAATTTTTTTGAGACAAGGTGTTGTTATGTACCCCAGGCTGATCTTGAACTCACTATAGAGCCCAGGCTGGCTTCTCAATCTACCTCAGCTTTCCCCGTGTTAGATTTTGGAGTGCAATGGCAAGCTCCTCCCCTTAGCTTTCACATGTCATCTGGAACCAGTGCTTTCTTACTTACTCTTGGCAATACACGATTCCATGTTTATTCTAACAGGAAGCAAAATGGCTATGTTTAAGTTATGTTTTATACAGACTACTTTTTCAGAACTTGAAAGCAAGTGTTTCAGATTTTTAAGTAAAAATTATTCCCATAGTTTTATATAGGGAAAAGTTCTCCAAAATCTAGTATTACTTTTGTATGCTATTGTAAATTTTTTATTTATTTTAATTAATTTATGTCTTCACTTTCCATCCTGATCATTGCGCCCTCCCTCCTGTCCTCCAAGTCCCACCCTCCTTCTCTCTTCCCCTATCCCCCCTCTCCTATTCCTCAAAAAAGGGGAGCCGCACCCACCCACCCCAGTTCATCAAGTCCCATCAGGACTGAGGCAGTCCTCGGCCCCTGTGGCCCGGTGGGGCAACAGAGTCCCCCACTCCCTTTACTAGAGGACCCACATGAAGCCTGAGCTGCCCATCTGCTACATTGTGGAGGGGACCTAAGTGTAAAATTTATTTTTAAGAAACTTAAAAAAATACAAGTATGTAAATCTTATAAAATTAGATGAAGTATGAAATTAAAACAGTTCACAGTCATTTGTATACATTAGCTCAAATGTATCAAACAGATTTGAAGGTTTTCTTTAAAACTACAACATTTGGGCTGAGGGGATGGCTCAATAAATAAAGCAACTGCAGTGCAAGTGTAATAGACCTGAGTTCAGATCTCCAGTCAGGATCAAGGAGCATACATCTCTCACTTTAAAAAAAAAAAAAAAAAAAAAAAACACTCGCTTTTTATTTTAAAAAAAAAATCCTTTTTTCTCAAGGTAGATTCTGGGAAGGAAAAGCACTTTTGAATTATTTTCTGGATTACTCAGTAACTGGTAAAGAGAGAGCCTCGTTTAGAAATTAATATTGTTTGAGACAAGGTGTTGTTATGGACCCCAGGTTGACCATAGCTCCCACAGCAAGACAGAAGTAGATAAAGGAGATACTAGAAGTTCTTGGGCCAGCTAGTCAAAAATAAAGTGGAAGGCAAGGATCAATACACAGTTGTTAACCTCTGAGCTCCACATTCGCAGCTTACATGTTTACATGCACTCATATGCGTACAAGATTTTTAAAATAAGCAGTTTTACACTACTGAACTCTCAAAATTCAATGAGCAATAACGGCAATTAAAACCTACAAAAGATGACTAGATTACTTTGCAGAAAGAGAGAGGGAGAGAGGGAGAGATGAGATGAGGGTTGGAGAGCTGGCTCAGAGGTTAAGAGCACTGGCTGTTCTCCAGAGGTCCTGAGTTCAATTCCCAGCAACCACATGGGATGAGATCTGGTGCCCTCTTCTGGCCTGCAGGCATATGTTCAGGGAGAACATTGTATCAATAATTAATCTTTTTTTTAAGTAAGTGAGCTGTTGCAATCCAGCTGTTGGAAAGCAGAGGCAGATGGCCTCTGTAATAAGCACATATGACAGTGTCTCACTTCAGTAAAACATTAGAAAAATGCAAATTACAGCCACAGAGAAGCCAGAAATGTAACCCTGAAATGAAAAAGGCCAAGGCAAAAGGATTATGAGTTCTCAGCCAGCCTGAGTTATACGAGATCTTGTCTAACAATATATAATAAAAATACAACCACAGTGAGATACTATTATCCTTTTTTTTCATAGTGCTAATGATGAAAATGCTGAAAAGAATAGAATTTCCCTGCCTTGCTTGTAGGAATGCTGGTGGTTTGAAAGGACCAGGCCTTACCCTCTCCCCCAAAAGTCATTAGTCCCAGGAACTAGGCCATAGCTCAACAATTCCAGGAATAAAAAAACAAAACAAAAAAAAAACATAAAATTCTCTACCCAAGGAATAGCCTGGAGGTAACCACAAGAATGGGCAAGAATGGGAAGGTATCTTATCTCAGGGTGGGGCATCTGTGCTGGGCAGCCCACAGACCTAACATTGCTGAAGTCTATAGAGAGCTCACTCAATGTTAGTTATGTTAGTTAGCCAATCACTTTGTAACAAGCTTGCTTGCTGAATATCATCCAATCATGTAACTGCAAAGCTGGGAGTTCCAGGTTCTTGCTCAAGCCCCAAATAAAAACCCTGCCATGTAGCTGCTCGGGGCTCTCCTCTCTGAGCCACTGTGCTGGTGATGATGGAGAGATGGAGCTTAAGCCCAAATAAAGCTCTTTTCTCTTCCATACGTGGTCTGGCTCCTGGTGGTCTTTGAAGACCTTAAGATCTGGGCATAACAGTTTAAGCACCTTTGGAAGCATTTACAATTGCTTCATTCATAACTTTTACAAACTGGAGCTGGAGGGATGGCTCAGCGGTTAAGAGCTCTTCCAGAGTACTTGCTTTCAGTTCCCAGCCACATAGCAGCTCACAATGGTTTTAACTCTAGTTTCAGGGAATCTGGTGCCCTCTTCTGGCTCCCACTGACACTGCACTACCGGCAAACCATGTCTGTGTGTGTGTGTGTGTCTGTGTGTCTGTGTGTGTATCAGTGCACCACAGGCAAAACAGGTTGTATGTGTATGTGTGTACATGTGTGTGCGTGCATGCATGTGTGTATATCAGAAGCTGAAAATAAGCCAGGCATGATGGCACATGCTTCTAAAACCAACTGAACATTTGAGTTCAATGCCAGCCTAAAGTACATAATGAACTCCAAACTAACCTGAGCTACAGTGAGAGAGCCTGTCTGGAAAAAAATAAAATAAACACAAACACAAGAAAAGATAGTTCTCGTTTTTTACCCCTCAACAGCTGAGAATAGTTTGGACGTACGGTTAATGCTCATGTCAAGCTTTCCCAGTGAAAATTCCTTTAAGCTACCTTTGTATTTATTTTTCATGATAAAGTTATTTTGCTATTCATGTTCTCTGGGATTTGTTGTTGTCGTGCTGGCTTTTTGAGACAGAGTCTTGCTGACTTAGGCTGGCTTCCTGTTGCCTACCCTCCCCAGTGCTGCGATTGCAGGCTTGATCTTCCATACCTGGCAGACATTTTTATTAAGAAAATAATGTCTAAATGCTTTACCAGGCTCAGGATGTAGTTCACCTACATACACAGCAGCTGCTCAAGAGTATTGTGAAGTTGTTCCACCACGGCACGCACACGTGCACGCGCGTGTGGGCACACACACACACAAACACACGCAAAGCACAAGCATTACTAATTCCCTTTCTTGAAATCATTAAGTGAATCCCAGGGAAATGTACCAGTGCCCTAGATGCACTTTCTTCCCATCCTCCATGACAAAAGACCAAGTTTACCCAAGATTTGCCAGT